TCGAGCCCGCAAATTGGACATGTGCTCTGACTGGGAATCAAACCAGCAACCTTTTGGTGCATGGAACGGCACTCAACCAACTGAGCCACACCGACCAGGGCCGAACTGCTTTTAATAAGACTAGCAAGCAGTTTTTAAATGCAACAATGAAGGCCAGATGTAAGTGCCAATTAGGGCTTTTGCTCAGCATTATGGATAACTCACTCATTTATTCAACAAAGAGCTATGGAGGCCCCCTCATGTCTAGCACTGATTTAGGGAACACAGGGGGGATGGGAGGTGAACAGAACAATCAAGCTGTCTGTCTGCCCTCCAGGCACTTACAATCGAGGGATAGTTAATGTAGCAAATAGAGTTGAATCATTAATTGATGGATTTATTTTACGAGTTTCTGTGAGTTGTGACGAGTAAGAGAGAATCCTGTGTGCGTAGCTCGGGCTGCCATCACGAAGCAGCACCGGCTTAGACAACAGGCATTTGTTTTCTCAAGTTCTGAGGCCAGACGTCTGTGTCAGGGTGTCGCAGGGTTGGTTCCTCCCGAGGCGTCTCCTCCCTGTGTCTCCCCGAGGTTTCCCCTTTCTGTGGGTCTGTGCCCCAGTCTCTTCTTCCTATAAGAACCCCAGGCATTTCCTCCCAGAAGAGCAAGCCAAGGTGAGAAGAGTGAGGAATCAGAGAATCAGAAGAGAGAGTGTGGAGGCAAGGGGGGGCCAGTGTCAGCCTGGGGTCCCAGGCTCGTCCTCACATAGGTTCTTGGGATCCACACTCTGGGCGCAGGGGGGGCTGGGAAGAGGGGTCCTGGCGATAGCTCACTTCGGTCACCGTGTCCCCACAGGTCCCTGTTCAGCAGCACCCGCTTCCTGCTCCTGGTCTTCCTGGAGGTGCCCCTGCTCCTGAGCATGCTCGGTGCCGTCCTGTGGGTGAACCGGCCTCTGCGGGGCTCAGGGGGGAGGCAGAGTCAGCCCCGCTCTGGGGACCAGTAACCAGTAGGTCCCGTGTTCATCGATGTTGTATCTGAAAGTAAGAAACTCAAACGGAAGAAAGATTGTTTTATTGTGAAATGACGGTGGTCAGCAGGGACCGTGGCTCTAGAGGCAGCCCTGGGCCTGCCTCAGGGACAGGACCCTAATCCCTGGGAACCCACAGCTGTGATGCCTGGGCCTCTGCTGCCCCCCCTTTGTGTACAACCCCTGGTCTTCCCGGTCCTGAGGCCCCACCGAGCAGGAAATAAGAACAGAGGTGCAGGAAGAGGCCTTTCGCCTGGGGCCCAAGCCCTTGCGGAGCATTTCCAGCCTCAAGCCGTGAGCCACCTGCCAGGGTCCCGGGCTGGTTTCTGTGTCCCGTGTCCCCTGAGGTTTAGGGCTCCCACCAATCCCGGTTTCACAATTCTTGACCCGTGAACAGAAAAACTGAACCATGCACTGATGACACGCCAACCACGAGTGAAGACCTGGTGTCCGGGGAACAGAAGCTTCTGGAACCCTTGTCCTGCTGCGTTTTTGTCACATGTCGGGAAGGAAGCTCTGGTGCCAGCTCCATCCCTTGCCTCCTGCACGTCTGACATTGAACTTGGCATCACAGCCCCTCATGGTCCCCATCACCCTTCCTGTTAGGATGCGTAAATGTTCTCACTTCTTTTGAGAGCATCGGTGTGGCTGCCAGTCTGTGGGGACTGTGACGTGAACTATGCGTCGCCAGGACCGGCCTAGCAGCTGGGAGCTTTCAAGAGCCGGATCCGGATCGCTCCCATTAGGATGGGAGCCTTCCTGGCCGTCAGCTGTGGAGGAGGGACGAGGACATCAGGATGCTGCTACTTGGGAAAGGCAAAAACATTCTTCCTCTCTGGTTCCTCCCTGGACTTGAACTTCTGGCAGCTTCAAGATTGAAAAGGGAGGCCTCTAGCGCAAAGGGCAGAAGAAACAGCATGAGCCAGGCCAGGAGGGACGGTGTGGGACATGGCCAGGGGAGGTCTCATCCGCAAGGGACCCTGCTCATCCCGCTGGGGCCAACTTGCCTCACCGGGTTGCCCTCTGCACTGTGCTTGGGCCCTGAGACCCGCATCTTTTTTTAAAAAAATCCTCACCCGAGGATATTTTTCCATTGATTTTTAGAGAAAGGGGAAGAGAGAGGGAAAGACAGAGAGAAACATTGATGTGAGAGAAGCACATTGATTGGTTGTCTCCTGCATGAGTCCTGACCAGGGCCCAGGCTGGGGAGGAGCCTGAAATCAAGGTACATGCCCTTTGACAGGAATCGAACCTGGGACCCTTTGGTCCACAGGCCGACGCTCTATCCACTGAGCCAAACTGGCTGGGGCATGAGCATCTTATTTTTAACAGCACATTTAAGCTACCGATGGACTGTGCTGTACAAGATGAGGACTTTGGCATCTTCCCTTTGCCCACCCTCCCCTTCCCAGTACTGATTTTGCCAGTATCATACTTTTTGCATGGATGATATTTATATTCCCGTCTGTAAATATTTCCCATGGTCGTTTCGTCTTTTTTTTTCCTATTTTTAAATATATTCCCTGTTCACCGTAGCTTCTTTTTTCTTCATTATTTGATTTATTTCTTGGTTGGCAAAATTTCATCATGATGTTGTTTTTCTATTTTCTAAGGGCTCGCGGGTGCTGTATTTCATAAGCGCTTGTGCGCATGGGAGTGTTCGTTGCCAAAAGCAACGATCCTGGGTAAAAATTCCCAGAGGGTCCCGTCTTTTCTGGGAATGTGTAGATTTTCCTTCACGTCCCCTATGATGCCGTGCCGTGGTGACATCTGAGACCAGCCTCTCCCCTTCATATTCGCCACTTACTCCCTCTGACCTGAGTCTTCTCTGATACGGGCCCATGCGATTCTATCTTTGTCCTGGAGGCTCTGTAACTTCAGAAGGTTCTAGGTGTGGGTCATTGGGACCCCCCCTCCCCCGACACTGTGTGGATTTTCAGTTGCAGGTGGAAGGGTTTCTTTATTTCAGAATCATTTTAAATTAAATTCGATCATTTTCACTTGTGGCTTATTTTTCTCCTTCTTAGGGAGCATTTGTGGAATGTCCTTCCTCTGTCTCCTGTACCTGTGTCTGCCTCTCCAGACATTTTTATATCACGCGTGTTTAAACTTCACTGTTGGGCCCTGGCAGGTGTGGCTCCGTGGGTGGCGCATTGCCCTGTGCACCGAAAAGTTGCTGGTTCAATGCACAGACAATGTATAGACCTGTAACCCAGCTGTTTTATAGACAGGAATTTATCCCACAGGCACATTCACGAATGCATATCAAGCCACATATGCAAAGACAGTCATTAAGGAATTGCATGTAGTTACAAAGAGCTGAAAAGAACTCACGTGTCCATCAAGAGGGAAAGAATGAAACAAATTGTAATATGCAGATATCACGGAATACTATGCAGCCATTGAAAACAAAAGTCTACAGGCAGCCCTAGCTGGTTTGGCTCAGTGGATAGAGCATGGGCCTGCAGACTGAAGGGTCCTAGGTTCGATTCTGGTCAAGGGCACATGCCTGGATTGTCAGCTTGATCCCCAGTAGGGGACGTGCAAGAGGCAGCCGGTCAATGATTCTCTCTCATTGATGTTTCTCTCTCTCTCTCTCCCTTTCCCTTCCTCTCTGAAATCAATAAAAATATTATTTAAAAAATAGTCTACAGGTATTGATATGGGGTGATTTTGAAAATACAGTAAGTTAAAATAGGCAAGCCACAGACAACACCTGTAAGGTGTTACTTTTCCCTGAGGAGGGGAAAGACCACACACACACACACACACACACACATAGAATTTCTTCAAAGGACACACAGACACACAGGATAACCAACCGCCAACTGCACCCAGACCGGGTGAGCTGGGAAGGAGGGAGCGAGTCTGAATCCTCAATTGAGAGCAATCATGTGACTCACAGAGGGTCACAGCTAAAAACTTTCAGCAGCACCTCACAAATCACTTTTGGGGGCGTCCTTTTCTTTTAAGTCACATTGAAAAGAAAGTAAATTTACCTAAGGTGTCACAAAAAGTGGTGAAAAAATGACAGAATATGGCCTGGGCCCTTGCATTTGGTTGGGCGTCATCCCGTGCACCGAAAGGTTGCTGGTTCGATTCCCGGTCAGGGTACATGCCTGGGTTGCAGGTTTGCTCCCCAGTTGGGGCACATGCAGGAAGCAGCCAATCAATGTTTCTCTCTCTCGCTTTCTCTCTCACAATCAATGAAAAAACAACCACACAGAATATGGACGGGAATTTTTGTACCTTTTCATGTTCTGAAGCCCTAAGGCTTACATGACAGGGGGCAGTCCAGCATAAGCAGACAGAAGCCAGTGGCCTGAAGAAGCCGCTGCTTCTAGCCCAGTCCTTCTCCCTGGCTCTGCCGGCAATCTGAGATTGCTCAACACGTTGTGCGGGAAGCCACCCCACATGGGAGGGGCGGGTGCGGGCGCACACACAAGAGCACACACAAAACCACAGAAAATATGAAGCTTCCTCAGCAAAAAGTGAACAAGAATTTTTATTTTTACTGAGACGCCCAATTCAGAGAAGTTGTTTGACAACAGAATCCCCGAACTGCAGAGCTTTCTCCAGACATGACCCTAAGCTCCTGGATAAAGCATTTCCCACCTGTGTCTGCCTTTATTTGTCCCTGTGGCTGCTTCAGGAAATTGGGTATATTCCTGGCCAGGTAACACCTGACCTGCCTTCCCATTTACGGAAACATCTCTACCCAGGAGACGCTTCGCCTCTCGTTCAACCACACAGGTTCAAGGTGAGGCTTGAGGGTGGTTTGTCAAGTTCTCCTTGAAGCCAGAGCAATGGAGACCAGTCAAGAGCACATGACCAAGATGAAACTACTCAAGGCTTCTAGGGTCTGAGGAGGACAGACAAGAGCTGGGGGCCTCAGAAGAGCAAAGCCCCCCATGTGGGCCCAGCCTCACCACCTGTCCCACCCAGAGACAGGGCCGGCTTTCTAGGGGCGCAGCGCCATGCACACCCACCGGGCCCTGCACTTAGAAGGACCTCGCTCTTGGTGTAACTCTCGTAGCCACCATTCGAATTTCTTAATATTCTGGAACATGTCCATTTGTATGGGGCCCTGTACGTAGCTGGCATTGTCTAGACAAGGCCCAGTCATGCCTGTACCGCACGGGACTGCTCATCTCGGCCACAGGAAATGAGCACTTCACGAAGGGCAGGGCTCCCTTGGGAAATGGGGATGGAAATGGACCCAGGCTGCTGGGGAGGGGGTGGGGAAGGGGTGTTGGCTGTGGCTGAGTGATGTGGGGGTGGGGGTGCTCTCATGTCTGGGGAGAGAAAAGGGAACTACAAGTTCAGATTCAGTATCGAGTTTCTCCATCCATGTGATGCCCCACTCCCTCCGCTGCCTACACTTTCTGACCTGCTCTGAGGACAGAAACAAGCAGAGACGGGGCCGAGAGAAGCAGAGGAGGGGACAGGGGAGCAGACCCCGGGCGAGGAGCCTGCAGCCCCCCGCCAGGTGCAGCGGAGAGGCCAGCCCGAGGGACGGGGCCATGTGGCTGCCATGGGCTCTGCTGCTTCTCTGTGTCCCAGGTGAGCGGGAAATCTGCTCTGGCAGGTCAGGGTGAGCAAAGGGTGGTCATGGGCAGGGAACGCCACAAAAACACAAGCCAAAAGGGATGAGGTGTGATTATAAAAACCCCGGCGCACCCTAGCTCCTCACTGGGATAGGATGAGGGTTAAGTGGGAAATGCTCTCCACACTGTGAGCACAGACGGAGCCCCAAGGAAGTCTAGCCATTTTAATCATTAGTTCCATCACTGTTAGGGTCAGGAAGACGCCAGAGAGAAGAGGGCAGGGGCGGAGAGCTAGGACTGTTGGGCTGGTGGCTGTTACCTCTGTTACCTGTCAAGGCAGAGCGGACAGTGGTGGTTCCTTGCAGTGAGAGGACTCCTCAGGTGTCTAGAGCTCGTGTGACTCTCCTGGCAGGAAGCAGAGATTGTAGGGGCCTGCGTCCTTGTCGTCTGGAACTGGAGCGTTCAGACAGACTGGAGAAGAAAGGGCAATGCCAAAGTCTTAGAGGTGGCAAAGGACCTGCAGCTAAGGCCCAGGGCATGGCAAGGCTGGGGGGGCGGGCGGAGAGAGGGGGGAGGCTGCCAAGGAGTAGGGGAGGGAAGGAACCACTGGTGGGCCATCGATGTGGAGCAAGGAGTCCCTGAGATAGTGATGGCAAGTGTTGCTGCAGGAGTCTGTCCCAGGAGGGAAATCGAAGTCTTAATGTCCTTGAACCGTGGTCAAGAAGAGCCTCTTCTTAAATGGCCTCCTTATACCCCGGCCAACGCTCATCTCCTGTGTGACTCAGACCTATGAACAGGAGGTCCTACCTGTACAAGCAGGGATTATAAACTCAGGATCCAAGTGAGCTGAAGGCTTCCTCTTAGTTTCCAACACTGGGCTTTATCTAAATTTTCCTGTTCCCATTCTTATTTTTTGTTTCCTAGTCCATCTCTCCATCTCTCCATCTCTCCATCCATCCATCCATCCATCCATCCATCCATCTCTCCATCCATCCATCCATCCATCCATCCATCCATCCATCCATCCATCTCTCCATCCATCCATCCATCCATCCATCCATCCATCCATCCATCCATCTCTCCATCCATCCATCCATCCATCTC